AAAAAAAAAAAAAAAAAAGGACGGGACTGGCAACTGTCGCGCTTCCCTTCGCTTCATCCCGCACATTCGGGACGCCGAGGAACTCACCGTCGTGTCCGTGGAGTTTGGCGGCGTCGACCCAGCTGCTCCAAGGCTGTCCCAGCATTATTTCAGGACTAGGCAGCGATCTCCGCTCCGCAACAGTCGCCATTGCTGTGGAGCCTTCTCCCCGCTGGATCTGCTGCTGCTTCAGCTGCTGCCTGGCCGCTCGGCGCTGCTCCCCCCTGACGTCATCCTCGGCCCTTTCCGACATTCTTTCCGCTACAATGTAACAACAGAGAGAGTCAGCTATGGGCGAGCTCGGGATAGGACGGCTTTCTTACCTACTGAATATTTAAAACGGCCGGCACTTGTGTTATTTTTTCGCAGACGACTCTCTCAAATGAAAAAAAAAAATAAAAATTATTTAATTAACCAACCTGTGCGCGTTACTTCCTATGTATTGGACAGACAAAAACTGGCAGTTCAGCTGGAGGTCTCTGGGTCACAATCTAGGTAACACTAACGCTTGTGTGTCACCTGACTCGTGTGCGTTCATAAGCTCTGTTTCTTCCACTATGCAGAACCCATATTGAAACGATAGCTTTGCTATTGCATTTTGCATTAAATTAAAAAATAATATGAATATATTGAACAGTCCAGGGCCACTTTATTAGGTACATCTTGCTGGTTCTATCAGACACATGACCCAGGACAAGGTGTCAGAAACATCTGTGGTCAGCAACAACAATGAGGTAGACTGTGCTGTTGAAACAATGCTCAGTTGATACTAATGAGCCAAAGAAAATATTTCCCACACCATTACACTACCACCAGCAGCATCAAATGATGAAATACAGCAGGATAGACTCATGTGTTCGTGTTTTTGCATCAGCTTCCAACCCCACCATCTGAATGTCACAGAGGAAATCAAGACTCGCTGAACCTGGCAACCTTTTTCCAATTTGTTATTGCCAATTCTGCTGAGTCTGTGTAAATATATGCCTCAGTTTCCCGTTATTAGCTGATAAGAGTGGCAGCCCGTGTGTTTTTCTGCTATTGTAGCCCACCTGTGTAAAAGTTTGATATGTAGGTTCAGATAAAGCCATCAACATACCTGGGTGTAACACCTGATTGTTTGTACTAATGTGGAATTTCCATCATCTTAAAGCAATCTCCTCAGAAAAAGGCATATTTGTCCACACAGATGCACCTTACTGGATGTTTTCGAACCATTTTCTGTGAAGTTGAGAGATGGTTGTGTGTGAAAACCCAAGACCAGCCCACAGGTCACCAACACCAAAACCAGTGTGTATGTGCAAGCAATGTCTTTGAATAAATACTGATAACACAATGTTTGTCAGTCATTAAATATTTATGTTAGGCGAAAAGAAAATTTTTAATTTTCACTTTTTTTTTTCAAATACCCTTTAAAGGAAACATTTAAAAAAATGCAAATCTGAAAAGTGCGACATTCACATGGTGTTGCTCGTTTGCTATTGTTCTCAAACATATATTTGAAGTCTTTAAAGAAAAGCTGTCCTGAAGTTAAATTAAGATAATTATTAATTAATTTTGGGGTATCAAAGTAAAGAAGACTTAAGTTTTGTTTTGTAAAAATGTTCTGAAAATGATGTTTTTATTCAACTTTGCAATAATGTGCCACTAAAGTCCAGGGAAGGTACATTTTGTTCGTTTTGAAAAAAAAAATAAAAATCAAGCAATATGAATAATGAATAATTTCCACAACCTTTCCTTGTGGAAATAGAGTGGAAAGGGAACAGACAACACTCTGTTGGTAGAACAGTAACGTGCACTACGATACGGTATGACTGGGTACGATGGTAACTGACACCTTTTTAGAGTATTAGAACTGTACACAAAAGAAGAGATGAAATAAGAAACCAATAACAACTGGGTAAATCTTACCTCTGTTTTTAAAATGCACTATTGGATTCAGAATCTCAGTACGTATACCCTTCATGTGCACAAACTGGATATGCATGGCTTGCGTTGTGCAATCTATGTCCACAGATTGGAAAACAGTTTCTTCCTGCTAAGAACAAGGAAGTGGGCCAGTGTGTGCAGGGCCTTGGGGCAGCATGTGGGACACTGATGTTTTGCCCAAAGGTGTGGATTCTCTTAAACCGTGCCGACTGCTGAGTTGTCAAAGTAAGATGATGTAAAAAAATAATAATAAGGAAGAAAATAGCTCAATATTACTCCTTGGACTTTAAGAAAATCCCTCTGTTATACAAGCATTATTACAAAACAAGGTTAATTTTACTTTCACTTTCTAAATGATTACTCTTGATCCAACAGCAAGAGAAAAACAAGACTTTAAAAATGAATATTGTACCATGGAGAAAATAACACACTGGTAATAAATGCCTTCTATCTTTCAGCTCTTTTGTGTACACTATTCTCTTTAAGTCTTAAGGAACAGCAAGCTGTTAGTATGACAAGATAATGTGATTTCTTGGATGTATAAAATAAAAGGCATATTTGAATGTCCTCTTAATTGTCTTCACCTCCCTGTGCACTTTTAAGGTAAGAATCTACAACATAGTGGAATTAACAACCTCAAGTCAAAGATATTTTTAGTGTTAGTATCAGATAACGACTAACCGCTCATTTTCTTCAGTCTTAATTTTAGCTGTTACAACCACACCTCTGAAATATGGAGTCCTTAGCCTCAACCGTTGAAAATAATTTGCAAACTACTTCTAAATGAACTGCGTTTAGAAACCACAAGCATAATAATACAGTTTTCAAATGAAGATTTCATTTTGTAAAAGAAAAAAGGATATCAAAACCAACCTTTCCTTGTGTGAAAATATAAGTGGGACTGATATTTGTCAATGTGGAAATGGTTACAAAGTCATTTTTGCAGCTCTAAAGCGTGAGACTCCAACAAACCACAGTGAGAGTTGTTTTTCACAAATGAAATAAAAAAACAAACCTGGATCAGTAGTGAACCTTCCTGGGAGCGGCTGGCCTACAAAATTACACGTCATCCAGGACGTGTCTAAAGAACCCAGAACATCTAAAGCGCCACAGGCACCACTTGCCTCAGTTTGGTTCAAAGTTCATAACTGAACAATGAAAAGACTGGGCAAAAAATGGTACATATGGGGCCAAGACCACTGCTGAATGTGATCGATAAGACTATTGGGGAAGAAAACTGTGTTGGGAACAACCGTAATGTTTTCGAAAGGTGTGCGTCCCGTTACATCACATGTAAAACTACCACAGTATCTCAGAGAAAGAAGCTCATAGTCAGCGGTACTAAAAGTGGGAATGCACCTATATGCGCAGCACCGCGTATGGGTGCTGCGCTAGAGAGAGTGCCAAAACAAAATTATTTCTAAGTATTTTCTCTGTTTAAAAATAGAGAAAATACTATTCTCTAGTATTGTGCATGTGTAAATGGTGTGATCAATAACAGAGACACAGACCGATTAGCCGCCCCTCCGCTCCTTCACCTTCACACATTCAAGTGCGCTTTTTGATGTTTTTTTTATTTTTATTTCTTTTTAATCACATTGTCATCTGATGACAGGGAACTACACATGGAAAGAAAGAAAAGAAAGAGAAGGGAGAATGACAGGAATGTTGTAAGGATGAAAAAGAGCTTTTGCAAGTGTTTTAAAGACAGTCGGTAAGTTATGTCAGTCCATGAAAAGGAAGCTAGTATTCAGGTAAGCTACTAGTAAAATGACAGGACAATGTGGTCCTGCAACTGTGTGCTGTAGTTACAATATAGCAGATTATGCTAAGGAAAATAAAGAAACTTGTTTGTGGTTATTTTGCTGTTCTGACAATCGCCAACAGTAGCGCCTCTAATGTGCCAGCGTACGCCTCGGAAAGTATCGTTTCAGTCAAACATAGAGGTGGCATTGAGATAATTTGGGGTATTGTTGTTTAGGACCTAAACAACTTGGTGAATTCAACTCTCTACCAGAAAACCCTGGTAGAGTTTAATTCAATGAGCACAATGATCTTAAGCACACCAGCAACCTCTGAATTGCCATAAATTTAAACAAATACAAATTTAAGGCCTTATAAAAGTTTTGCCTTAAATATGATCGAGACGGTGCTGCATAATTGAAACTAAAAGGCTGAAAAGGCATTTTTAGATCCACTGACAACAACTTTAAGTGATTTTCTATAACGTGTTTTATGCCTGAAAACCCTCCAACGTTGTTAAATTGAAAACAATTCCTCAAAACAGTAAGCAAATACTAAACCCTTGATAAATCAAGTCATCATTGGAAAGTTGTGTTTTACTAAATTTATTTTTGTTTTTTTCTATTTGAACTTTCATTATCTGCATCATCTGAGCCAGTAATCCAATTCTGACATTTTTGCCATTTAAAACTAAATGGTGCAACTTGCGTGTTACTTGAAGATGTTGTGACATTTAATTGTACACCTGACACTACTAATCTACAGGCAAATCGACTGAAAGAAAAATCCGACCTTGAACCCGATTTCAGTACAGTTTTGGTAAACCATAAATCCTCACAGGGTGATGACCATGTCGTTGCTTTGCTGTTTTGATTGCTGAAATGGTGTCCGTCACAGGACCATGCTCCATTTTGTACTCGACTGAAACATGTTTTTTATATCCAACTTGGCAACCAACTATTTTAAATAATTTTCTATCATCTAATGATAGGAAATGTGATACTGTGCATTAAATATTTTATCAGCAGAAGGTCACTTAAGAGTTGTTTTGTTTCAATCTGCGTTTGAATATAATCTGCCATATTTTATAAGAGTGGATTGGTCCAGACAGGGATCATAACAAAAATAAATGGTTTTCAGACAAAACATAACAAATAAATAAATGAGATATGATGGAACATTTGACCATTTTTAAGAATATTTATTTTCCCTATGCATGATTAACTAAAATTAAAAATAAAACTGCATTCAGTACGTTTTAAATCTTGAATTCAAAGTGGTTTGTTTACAAATACAAAATGGAAGTAAAAAGGTATGTATGGCAATGCCTAGGTACGATTTAGGGGTAGGAATTGTAAAACAGGGGAAGTGACCTGAAGTCATTCACGCATGACACAAGAAAGTAGCAGTTCTTATAAACATCATCTTGCTGATTAAGACCAAACAAAATCTTAGTATTTCATTACAGCTGCAAAAAAAAAAAAAAAAAAAAAACACAATCCAAAGCTTGGTTTGGCTTGAATTGCAACTATTCTTTTGATTTTTTTTAAGCACAAATTACTTTTTCAAGCTCCATTTCAATTGTCTGAACTAAGTTCTTAACAAAGCTTAGGGGAAGATATGTAACCCAGTTGGGGCTGAAATGATACAGAGATTACTCATAACTTCATAGGTGGGGTTTACAGTTATTACTCATCAGTCGGTCTTACCCTGCTTCGGATTTACATATCTCTGTCTTACTCATCTTCTCCTGAGCTCTTAAAATGGTTCAACTTGAAGTTGTACCCCAGGAACTGTAACGTCGAGAGGCAGAATGCTAAGAACAAGAAGCTAGAAAGTAATCCCACAACCACTTCTACCAATGAACAAAACTGAAGTACGTCTCTTTATTTTACAGCAGCTATGCATCAGCTTTGTTATCAGTAATGCAACTGGCTGATATTTTTTTAAAACAACCACATAAAATGTCCCTAATCCGCTAATTACATCTCGGTAATATTGAAAAAGATTTTTTTTTTAATCAAAACTCTTGCAGTTTACCAACAAAGCATTGCAAAGTGCTTGCTGTCCTGTCCCTGCAGTAGCCTGTTAACCAACCTGAGCAAATAAAGAAAGTCAAATGAAAGTAGAAAACTGTCCTGTGGTCTAACAACTGAAAATGTGAAAGTGTTTATGGAAATTATGGACTACACTTATTCCAGGCTGAAGGTCGGCATCTTACTTTGAGATTGAACATGGATTTTGGAAAGAAAACAAAACTGGGCAGTTTACTTTTTCTCAAAGAAAGAAAATAAAGAGGGAAATCTGAAAGGTGTGGCATGTGTGTCCAAAGGTCTTCAAAAGTCGCCTAACTGGTTAATTAGCGTTCACCTGTGCATAAATTAATCTAAGTATGAATCCAGTTGTCCGGTGAAGGCCTCAGAGGTTTGCTAGAGAACATTAACAGGATCAAACAGGATCATAAAGAAAAACTAACACAGCAGACCAACAGGTCAGGGAGAAAGTCGCAGAAAGGTTTAAAGAAGAGTTAGGTTCACAACACTTTGCAGCTTTAGCAGCAAATAAAATGCAAACTATAATTTATTCAATTTTTGTTTGTGAGATAAAAATTATGTGCTACATTTTGCTGGTCTATCACATAAAAGTTTGTGGCTTCAACGTCACGTGTTCAGAGAAAGAACCACAAATGTCATGCATTGCGAAACTGTTGCCTAAACACTACTAAAAACCAAAATGAACAAAGAGCAGGAAAATTATATACAAATGATGTTCTTGTTAGTGACATTATGAAAGAACTCAACAATTTTGGAAGTCCAGTTGTATTTCACAGAAACCTGAAGTTTGTGAAGAAGACATGAAACAGGACTGCTTCAAAACTGACTTACCAAACCTCAACACGCATAACTTTTTAAGTGTGACAATTATAAAACGTGTGGAAGAACCTGTGAGGTCTTACCTTGATAGAACAAGAAACAAGGAGTTTATTTTTAATGTGATCAGCCAATCCTCATCGGCTTTAGTGTTTGCAGGCTGGCACACACCAGAGAGGATATCTGGAGAAAGACAAAACAATGCATACCGACACAGACAATTATGCAGGGTAAATTAGACTAAAGTGGGTCAAATCGTCGCTTTGCCAAGTCATGTCTTCATTTTACAAATAATAAAAAGAAGCAACTTTAGGTATAAAATGTTTCTCTAAACTAGCGTCTTGAACTCTTGTTCTTGTTGGCATCTGTTCTTTGTGATTTACAGTCTTTGCTGGAACAAATCTGATTAAAATGACTGGGCCATTAACAGGTTTCTTCACGACTTGACAACCTGCTGAGGAATAATTTCAAAATGGAGTTTGCTCTCCAATTTCATTTAATTAGCAATTGGATAAAAGCCCTTTGCTTTGGCCTTAAAGTGAAAAACATGAGCCACACTTACTTTTAGAAATTCAACAGGTTCGGCTACAGGCTTTTAGGTCTGATATTTTGACATTTAATCTTGAGAATTAATGTATTCTTCTTGTTTTATACTGCTAGAGACTATATGTAGCCACTGGTAAATTTACTTGGACCTTAGTATCTATGTTGATAAAGGTTTATCAATTAAATAAATGACGTATTAATCCCATATTTACATTTTGCACAGCTTCTTTTCCAAACATTCATGCCCTTTTAAAGCATTTCTTATAATTATTCATTTTCCTGTCAAGTCATTATCAAATACAGGTCACTAGAGTCAATAAACCTTAAAAAGACATTATTATTCCTGTGTACATTGCGTTTTACCTACAAATAGATCACCGGAGTGATCAGAGAGCCAGACGTATCATCACACCAACGCCGCCTGTTGTTGAATTTCTTACGCTGTTTAAATCTTTTAGACTATTTCATGTTGCCTGACAGGTTCTGTTTCAAGAAATGTCTGGATTCTACTGGCTTGGCAGTAATAAGGCCTGAGTGTAGCTCATAGACTTGAAGAAAAAAATATGAATGACTGTTGATTCATAATATAAAATTAAGGCAATTAGTTTTTCACAAAGGACCAATAAGGTTCAGCTGACGCTTTCCCCCTCTAATCAATGGAATCATGATTCAGAAAGTTGTTTTTAGTGTTTACTCTGGTTATACCTTTCTGAGATCAGATCAGTTAAAGCACTTAACAAAAAAAACAAAAAAAATTGCAGATTCATCTATGCATTACATGTGTATCTGCTTGTGCTATGAATTCACAAATGTTTAATAACAGAATGCCAACAAAGACATGCTGAAAAGGATGACATCTATATTTTAAGTGTTTGCTTTAAACGTATTAAAATATATGATTCTGTTCATCCTCAAAGTATCTCCGATTACATAAAAGGCCTTTGACCCACAATGCAGTTGTCAAAGACGTTTCTGCTTAGTGACCAATATGCCGAAGCTCGCAGAGAGTGATGGGAATATGATGACATTGGAAAAGAAAGAGAAGCACAAGGTGGCGTTGCTATGATCTGTTTTCTTAATATAGTGCCGTTCAACATAAACAGAATTTAAATACAAATGTACAGTGTGACAAACTTCCTCAAAGCAATGTATGTCAGGCATAGATAATAAAGAAACAACTACTCTATCAATAATGTAAAAACTAAATAGAAACAATGAAACAAGTCATTGTTTCAAATGTAAGCTGTAGTACATGATGTACATTGATGTAGAAAGAGTCAAATTTGATCTTCAGTTTCTACACTCCAAAGCGTATGTTGTTCTATGATGTACTTTAAGTATGTGTGCTGGGGGGAGGAGGGGAACAACTTTTTCTCCTAGAATATAAACGATTGTTTAAATCTGCAAACATGAGTAATTGTGGCTGTAAGTTAAAACATCTTTTTGTGGTTAATAATGGCAACATAAGATAGTTTTGAGCATATTATGATCAACATCTCACAATAAATCAGGTAAACTCACTTAAAGCAGCCTGTGGAAGGGATGGGCATTAACATTTACAATGAAATCAACTATCTCATCACAGTGAATTTATTTATTTGCATAATTTGTATGTGAATTTATTCACATATTTTCACGTCAGACTGGTATTTAAACTATACATCCACGGCGCGTCGAAAATAAACTAAACATTTATAAGGGTTACATAGAGAAATGTCTCCATTGGCAACGAGCAGGTGCAAATGGGGTAGCTAGCGGGTAGCAGCTAGAGGACACAAACAAGAGGCAGCATTTTTAGCTAACGTTGCTCCTGTACTTTTTTACTACATTTGTAACATCACAAACTATACTATCTATATGAATTCTCTTTAAACCCCAATAAAAACTAACAACCAACATCTGGCGGAGTTATATTTGTCAAAAAGGATGTATGTTTGAGTAGTCCTGTACTATAAATAAGCTCCATTCAGAGTACCACTGGGGCTGGTACTTCACAGCAGCGGTGGCTAACTGTTACATTAGCCTGAAGCCAGCCATGGCCAGCATTAGCGAGGAAGCTGCCAGAAGCCTGACAGCACAGCGGCGGTCACGGAACGACGACAGCCGAGGACTTACCGAGGCCCTGGGTACTGGAGCTCTAAATGTGTCCCCAGGTCGGTGAACAGCAACTGGATGCACGGGGTGAATGACAAAGAGGACGGTGGGAGAGAAACGAATGCAGTGTTCAGCTTCTAAGGAGGTCTTCTCCTGGTGCTTCCATGTCTGTTTACCAGATTGCATTCTGGGACAGGGACGTCACTGGTGATGTGTCAGTCGCGAGCGAGTCAAGTCACTGTGCCGGCTCTTTTTTGTGAACGATGGAAATACAAAACCTGAGTGAAGATAATATTTAGTGCATTATGTGTGTGTATTGTTGATCGTTTTTAACAGTATGATATTAGTTGTAATCCTTACAGTGCAATTTGTTTGAATTGTCAGAAGAAGTACTAATGGCTCTTACATGAGTGCTGCTCAATTCAAATTCCTTCTTCTATGCCTTGTATTTTAAAGAATTTGTGGAACAGTTTGGCCATTCATTATATTGTAGGTTTCACCTTTGTCTTAAGTTATCTTAGTAGTATTATAAGAATGTTTTATACATAGCACAGATTGAATAACTTTAATAGCATAAAAGCTGTAAATTTCTCTGTTTAACCTAGTTTAGATTTGATAAGTCTAATTATGAGACAAAGGTGATCACAGATTTCTTGGAAACTGTGAAACAATAGTTTCATTTAGTACTGAATGGGATTTTTACTATTATTTTTATTTAACCATGAAGGGCTTGTTGAGATTTAAAATTTAATTTACAAGAGAGACCAGAAATGTTGACACATATAAAATCTTCAATGTTGTTATGCCATTTTCTTTACAATTATAAAAACAAACAACATGACATGAATTGACATGACAATAAGCAGTTCAAAAATCTTGAATCTGGATTAGTTTTTTGTAACACAGACACACTGCATGCTAAGTAAAGTGTCATTTCCCAAGCAAATGCTGAAAGAATATATAATTTCTGAGTTCTGAGTTCTAAAATCTACTTGAGCTCCTCTCCGGTCAACTGCAACTCCACATGAGTTTTGCACTTTTCTCATGAAATAAAACCCATTTGATGGACTTTCAGAAGCCAGCCGTTCAAGCAGGTCACATCCTGGGATGTCACAGAGCCAGTGAATGATTCTACATCTTCCAAAATTGTTTTCCATTATGTGTCCATCCTGCCAAGGAGAGTATATCCTAGCATAAAGTGGAACCTCTGTTATTGAACATGAAGCTAATTTATAAAAAAATAATAAATGAAGTCAATGCATTTACATTAACAGTACAAAGATGAATTTATAATAACAGTTAAAACCAGACATGAACGCAGTGTAATAAATACATTACTATCTTTCTGTAGAAGAAATTAACATGGATGAGAACCCTAAAAATGACTTACTGCTTATACGTTAAGACCAAACATGGTTGCTGTAGTTAGGAAATAGATTACTTTGTACTACTTTAAATACTGGCAATATCTTACAAATGTGTACATTTACATACTAGAAAAGTATCAACGTCACACTTAAATGAATAATTATGAAAGCTAAAAGCTGTATTAAATGGAGATTAGATTGGAAGCTAAATGGTTGTTGACAATAAATTGAGTAAATGATCCGGATCTTATAAAAGAGTTCTATCATCCATTAGACGTCAGTGCGCGAGGACGTGAAGTGCACGAGCATTATCGTTTGGTCTTTTTTGTCTGCAATAAAAATACACAGACATAAATTACTGAGCAGAATAAAGTAAAAATAATTCAGATTAAAACATGAGACAACAATAAATAGGGATTATAATACAGTGAAAAAGTGTTTTCCCCATCACATTTTTTTTCTAGTTTTTGCTAGAAAAATTAGAAATCTTCGTCACACTTAAATCTTCGCCGAGTTGCTTATGCAATCCACAGAAGAAAGGCTCAACTTCTGCTTGTGAAAATTTCTGTGATATTAGGATGTTAAACGATAAGAGCACTACCTATCTTGGATGTTGTTTTGGCTTATTAAACTGTAGTAAAACTCTAAACGCCCAGAGTAGGAGGATTTAATCATCAATTGTATCATATTTTGCAGGTTGTAAGTCAAAATGTTCTCGTGAAATTACAATTGTAGTAAAACTATTATTTTTATTAATGATATATTGTCGTTTCACTGCCTTTTACCAAAATAGCCAAACTACAATGAGAAACAATAAAATATACCTAAACCTCGCTTCCAAATAAACAGCTCATTCTTTATTTACAAAAGGAATTAAAGTAATTGAAAATATTAGTTTTAAGCTTACTAAAAGGCAAATGCATTGTGAATACGATTACAACCCAAAGAAGAAGAATACTATTACATCCACGATATTCAACCTTTTACAGCTCAAACATCCCAAGCAGCAGCTCCTTTTACCACCAGAGGTGGCAGTATGGGCTAAAAACGTGTCTGTAAGCAGAAGAAGAACATCCATAACACCATGGGGGCTGTTACTGATGGTAAGTAATTGTGCGATTTATTCGTTTTATCTTTTAGTTAAAACTCATTTTCTATTACCGTCTTCTCAATTCTGTAAAGAATCAACATATAATAGCGGTTTAATTATCAACAACCATTAAATTCCACACAAAAAGTCGTCTTTACCAGAACAGCTAACATACTAACAGTTAGCTAAGTCAGTAAGTAGCCTCCTAGTAGTACACCTTTAAGCGTGCTCACTTACCTCCCTGGTCTGTGTCACAGATGAAGTTATAAGAAAACGACTTCTCATTGACGGTGACGGAGCTGGAGATGACCGCAGAATCAACCTGCTGTTGAAGAGTTTCACTAAATGGTGCCACTCTCCTGGGAGCCCGGAGGAAGGGTGAGCGAGTTTATACACTAGTCTGGAACCCGGTGTGTTGGTTCATTAAATTAAATATTTTCTTGAATTGCTACGTATGTGATATATTTAATGCTAAGCACAAGTTTGGATGAATTGTAGTAGTGCTCTGTATCTACAAAGTTTCTCAAAAAATTTAAAGTAATAGAAAAGGAAAGATGGTTTGTACTTTCAGAGCTTATCATCTGTCCCATGTGTATTTTTCCTTCGGTCTGTTTTAATCTATCCAGGCAGACCAGAGTAGAAATATAATTCATACATTTATAGTGAGATTTCTTATTAAAATGGGCCAAGAAGGACAGAGATGTTTGCAAATTTGCTGCAGGATTTTAAAACACATTCACAGAAATCTTGTTTTTTGGAGCTCAACTGTTTTCTGTGTGTGCAGGTTTAGCCAGTATCAGAGGATGCTGGGAACTCTGGCTCAGTGTGAGTTTTCTATGGGGAAAACGTTGATGGTTTACGACATGAATCTTCGGGAAATGGAGAATTACGAGAAGATTTACTCAAACATAGGTAGGAACTGTTTCTATCTATCTGAGTCTCTAATATCGATATCTTTTGGCAAATAATTAAGTAAAAATGTTTGTGGTTGTTTGTTTTGTACATTCAAGAGCAAAACATCACGTCCGCTCATGACAAGATTGCAGAGTGCAAAAAAGAAATACAGAGGGCGAAGAGAATACGAAAAAATCGACAAGGTAAAGTTCCGTGATGTTTGGTACATTTACAAAATCTGACAAATTACTGATGAGCTTTTAAATGTCATACAAGTAAAGGTCAAAGTATTTTTTATTGGGATTTTATGTGATTGAAAAAGTTTTGCATAACTGTGATGTGGAACCAAAACAAAAAAAAGTTTTCTGTCTCATCTGACCCAACCACATTCTTCCACCAGTCACTATATTCTTCTAGGGAAATACATTTCTATTATTTATATTTAGTTGTTTTCGATTATCTGAATATTGTAAACGTTTGCATGCGTTCTTCCAGAATATGATGCTTTGGCAAAGATAATCCAGCAGCATCCGGACCGGCATGAGACCCTCAAGTAAGCCAGCATTTTATAATCCACACCATCTTTTGTTTTTTAGATTTTTTCCCCCTTTTTTTTCTAATTAATGTTTTGCTTTGTTTACTTAAAGGCAGCTGGAGGCATTAGACAAAGAACTCCAACATCTCTCTCACATTAAGGAGAATGTGGATGCAAAGGTAAAGAAAATTAATTCATTCTCTTTTATGTTTAGAGGTAAGTTTTGCTTTCTTTTTTTTGACACCCGTCTTCTGTTCAGTTGGAGTTGAGGAAGAAGCAGTTCCATGTTCTTCTCACCACCATTCAGGAGCTACAGCAGACACTTGAGAGTAAGGATTTTTTTTTTCTCTCTAGTGGCACTTAAACTTTAAACTGTAATATATGAAAACCAAAGCCCTCTCTTCATTGCTTATCATTACTTTTCCCAGATGATGAGAAATCAGACAATGACGACCAAAGTCAGGAGAGCCCTGCGCAGAATGGAGAATAAAATCTTTCTAGATTTTTAACGGAACTGATTTTAAGAATTCTTGTTTTGTATGTACTTTTTGAATAAACTTGACTTGCACATATGTGTTTCTGTGTGTAATTGATGCATTTGACATGTTTTTCTTTATTTTTTGCAACCCAAATAAAGATCAGAGTGATGTAAATATTATAGGAGCATAAATTAAGAGTAAAAAAGTTTGAATTTGCATTTTGGATATTTAAAGACCATGTTTGTTCACTAGTAACAATGAATAGGAGAGCATGTGTTCAGCTGCTTGCTTTAACGTTTAAGAACCTTTTTATATTTGAGTCAAATGTCCACAAGGGTGCGCTGAAGTCCATTTTGAGTTCACTGCTGGGTTTGAGCAGTTACAGCAATGCATTACCTTCCATTAAACTTACAGTTTTTGCCATCATCAGTAAGACAAAAGGACTTAAATTGTTTAAAACTTTATTGAAAGTTATTCCTAAGACAGAATTCTGTCCAAGAAAATTTATACTAGGAAAAAAAAAACATTTGTAATGCCTTCTGGGATGTTTTGGAATATATTAAGCAATAAACTACATCATATCACTTGTAGGTTCTTTGATGGATATTATGCAGTGCAAAAAATGAAAATGTCAAGTTTATAGGGAAGAATCTTACGCTACGCGTTTACAGCAAAAGATGTGCTCCTCCTGGACGGTGCTGCTTCTCCTAGAACTCCGCCAGGTATCTACGGGCCTCCATGAGGCGCTTTGTGCGACTCTGCAACGCATCCCTCTTGTTGCCGATGTCGTAGTCCTCCTTCAGTAGGAAGTCCACAT